GTCAACCTCTCAAAAATGTTTGAGCTTCACTGTGCAGCATGACGTATGTGCAGATTTTGACTCTATATCTTCATCTGCTAAAGAGAGAAAGTTTAGTTAAAGCTATTGGTAGTCTTGAGAAACCAAGAGTCAAGAGTATGTGCTAGATTTTTGAAATGATCCAAACTAATAACACAGCCCAGTGTTGCCAGCTCTTCTCTAATGAGAGTGGCCGACAGCACTAGCTCCTAAAGTTGCTAAATCAAGTGACAGCCCGCCCCTTCCTCCCTCCAAAGCCACTGCCCCCCCACTGTATGAACATGGCTATTGTTTGTACTCACAGGTGCCAAGCTAACAGCTTATGGAAGACACAGGAAGAAGACGCGAAGGCAGGCAGGTAGGTTGTCCAATCATTTCATTCGGACCATTATACTATTTCTTTGTGATTCTTTCGGGCTGAATGAGATGATTGGACGAGCTGATAACAGTGCTGCGACAGCCACAGATAAATGAATACTATTAGGGATAAGGAACAAACTACCTGACAAAAGAGTGGGCTGCCAACTTTAAATGAACACTTTATTAGTACTTAAGCATGAAAATTCATTCTTGATCTTGGGAATGAATACATGTGATAAAATGTACTAAACTCACGCTTCACTTACTATCATTTTCTGCTGTTTTCTACCTTCCTTATTAAGCTCATTGACCTTCATTTGTTCATTTTGCTTGCAAGCCGGATTCCTCTGTTTGGCTCCTTAACTTCTTCACACAAAGTGGTAAACGTTGTCCAGTTTGAGCCCAATAAGGGAGCCATAGGAACGGCCTACAAGAAAGATGCCAAATTGGTTCTGGAGTACCTGGCTGCCTGTGACGAATGCTACATCAGTGATCAGGAGAAGCTTCTCAATCAAAAGGGGTAATTTCTGACCGCAGTGATCGCTGCTGAAGTCTATTTCTGAAGGTTTATTTATGTTTGTGTGTGTTTTAGATTGTACGTTTATTTGGTTCTGTTCATGTCTGTAGGGAGTTCAGCGTTGCGACACAAGGCAGAACATTTAAACTGACTAAAGACATGGTCGGTGTGAAGAGGTTCCAGAAAACTCTGCACGGTAAGAGGTGACACCAAACCTGCTTTCAAGTCTGTAGAGCAGAACAGGGAGTTCGTTCATGTGGGAAATCAACCGTCTCTCTTTTCCCACAGTGGAGGAGATTGTTCCCAATGTAATCGAGCCGTCCTTTGGCATCGGCAGAATCATGTACTCCATCTTCGAGCACTCGTTCCGCATCCGGCAGGGGGATGAACAGAGGACGGTAAGAATGCTTCAAAACAAGGAATGACATCTAAATGAGAATCATATGATTGTTTCAATTAAATCACTTATTTTCTCTCCAGTATTTTAGCTTCCCTGCCACCGTAGCTCCATACAAATGTTCCATCCTTCCTTTGAGTCACAACCAGGAGTTCACACCGTTTGTCCACCAGTTATGTGAGTGTGATGCTAAATTTCTGATTTCAATACAGCTTTACGAAGTTTAAAGAAATGGCTCGACATTTTGGGAAATTCTCTTATTTTGCTTTAATGTCGAGAGTTAGATGAGAAGATCGACCCAACTCTTACGTTTGTCGGTTGAATATGAAGTTGGAGCCAGTTAGCTTAGCATAAAGACTGAAAACAAAGGGAAGCAGCTAGCCTTGTTCTGTCAGCAACAAACCAACACTTCTTAAGCTTACTAATTAACACGTTGTGTATGGGGACTATTTCTTGGCCGGGGCCAATAACTTCTCTGAGACTCCAGTTTTTATGCTAAGCTAACTTTAGGCCGTAGCGTCATATTTAATAAGAGGGGTGTCGATCTTCCTCAAATAAGCATATTTCCTAAAATGCAAAAACTTGTACTTTAAGTGTTTCTGAATTTCCTTCTGAAGCATATCTATTCAAACTGATGACTAATTTTGGTCGTTTTCCTTTAAGCCGAGGCGATGACTAAAAACGGCGTGTCCCACAAAGTGGACGACTCCTCAGGATCCATCGGGAGGCGTTACGCCCGCTCCGACGAGATCGGAGTGGCGTTTGGCATCACCGTCGACTTCGACACGGTGAACAAGACGCCTCACACGGCCACGCTGAGGGACCGAGACTCCATGAAGCAGATCAGGGCCGAGGTACAATAACTTTAGTTATGACTTTAGTTTTGATTAACAGAATACAAGGTGTGTACAGCATCATAATTGCAGATTTTGTTTTGTGCTAATATACGAAATCATATTGCAGGTCGCTGAGTTGCCAGGGATGGTTCGAGATCTGGCTAACGACACTTTGACGTGGGCCGAGGTGGAGAAGAAGTACCCCGTCTTTGAAGGACAAGAGACCAACAAGAAAGAATAGCCAAACAAGGACTCCTCTACTGCTTTCTTTTTTAACCAAAGTCATTTTTTGAAACCGAAAGCTTATGAATTTGATATTTCTTCATACGGGAAAAAGCTATTTTCTCTCATTGGAAGATGAAGTTTGACCAGACATATGAAGTATACAGCAGGATCTGGAGATTAGAGCGTGTCACAGAGACTAAAGGAAAGGTCCACCAGTTACAAACATGCTAGAGGGTGAACACACTCCTCTGTGGCGTTCCTTTTCTAGCAGCATTGTCTGCGCTGCAACATTTCCCAATGGATGTGTATCACTGATACTGTAGAAGCAGAAAACATACATACTGCCAGTTATGGACCTGACTTTCATACATTTCGTTAATACTGTATGCATTTGTTAACCTTTTATAATAAACTACATACTGCATCAATATTTTTCTTTTTTGAGGTGTTATTTATGTTTCCAGCTGTGACACCACTGCTTCTCACTGCACTGTATTTTGTGTTGCGGTCACTAGACGGCACTGTGTGTTGTTTCATAGTTCATTGTAGAATGTGAGAGGCACGGATGTTTGGCACAGCTCAAAATTGCAACAGGCTTAGACCCTCCCAAAACAGATCTCGCAACCAGGAACAAACCAGCAAGAGACAAGAGGGCTTGTAAAGTAATATAACGTTTTTAAAAAAAATCCAATGCAACAATTTCATAGTAACGCTAATTTGTATATAATGATACAGTGCTACATGTGATTCATCATAATGAAGACACCCTATTAATAGAGCTAATGTAGCTGCACTAAGTGGGTTGAGGTAGATTAACCCTCGGCTGCATCGGTTAGGGAAGTACTGTCGGCGGTAGGGGAACTTAAAACACCTAATAGACTCTTAATGTTGTGGCTTAGTGTGTGAGCAGCCCTCATGTTCCGCCCCCTCTGTCAGTGGTCAAAAATATAAATACATCATGTCACCTTTAACCAGTGGCAGCTCCCACTCAGGGAGTCAGAGGGACCCACAGCTCACCCTGAGCAGATGTAATAGTTAACATTTTCTTACATGCCTTCTTTCTTTTGTTTGGAATATAATTTAATCTGCATTTTTAATTTTTTTTCCTCTTGAACAATTCGGGTAAAGTGTGTTATAGCAACTCCTTTAGGCTCGCAACTGCTGCGTTCAAGGTCAGTATCACAACAGGTGCTGCGGAGGACAAACTGGAGAGCGTGACCGTGTGGCATTTAAACAGCCTACATTGTGAGGAGAGAACCGCCAGAGGTTTTAAGAGTTAAAAATATACACATGCGGGCAATGTTAGACCTGATTTTGAATGTGTTTTCTGCATTACAAAGCAATACAGCGTTATAATGCAAAATAACTAAATGAACTTCATTCCAGAGAAGTTGTTTGGTTAAAAATAGCAGACAGCTGGAGGATACTTTGATGTCCGAGTTAATCAGTGGAAAGTTGGCCATTCGCCGTCCACTGTTTATTTTACCTGATAATCACTGCAAGTTTAAATTCCTAATTGATGGTTGCTTTGAAACTATAATTTAACACGAGCCACATTGCATTATTTTACCTTTCTCTGATATAAGAAAACAGCTTCTTATGATACAGGAGAGACACCAGCATAAAGCTTGATAATCATATTTATATTTGGCACAGCATGAAGAAGTAGCAGATGTGTGCAAATCCTTTACTCGAGTGCAGTGCTGGATACACTTTACTCTTTCCATTTTATTCTTCTACTCCACCACATACCATGATGGAAATATTGTACTTTTTAACTTTACTGTGTTTATTTGACAAAGATAGTAAGTAGTTACTTTGCAGGAAAACAATTTTTGCATTAAAATACTCTTCCACATCTGGTAATAGGTCTAATCCTACATTTTAAAAGCTTTTGTCTTTATGTGAATTTTATTTCATTGCAATTAATACATTTTTATTTATCTACATCTTATTTTCTAGTCTTTGATTTGTAACATTGTTAAGAACAGTGCTGTACAAATAACATTACTGTAAGTGCAAAACACAAATACAAAATTTCCCCGTGGAGTAAAAGTAAATCGTTACAGAAAGGAAGTACTTAAGTAAAGTTCCTGTAGTGCAGTGCTTATGATACAGGAAGTAATATACTTACTTTCCACCTCTACGGCTAATACAGTATACTTTTCACATGACAGCGACCTAAATCAAGAATGATTGATAAGCTGAGAAGTCTATTTTTAGTTGCAGTTGGAATAGATGTGTAAGGATTACAGGTACAGGAACCCAAAAGCACATCTCAGAGACAGAATACAAGTATAGATTTCTTTACTTGGTAAAGGCAGGGTCAACACCGGGAGGTCAGTCCAAAAGGCGAACAAATCCAATAAGGGGCCAGAGTCCAAAGTCAAGAAAACAGGCAGACAGGGTCAGAACAGGCAGATCAGAACAATACTATATCTATAACGCTGGAGAGCATTGCTGAGACACACAAGACAATCTGGCAGGGAACAAGTGCAAGTGAGTGGACCTAAATAGTGAGTGACTAATGAGGGAATGGGCTGCAGGTGAGATGGGTGTGGAGGACCAGGTGAGGGGAATAGGTGATGATAGGGGGTGAATGGCAGGACCTGAAATGACAGGAGAGTTAATTAGACAGGCAGGCAGGATGAAAACAAACTAATATGAAGGGAAATTTGTGACAAGATGTCTCTCATATAAACAGTGAAGTGGCGTTTTTGCACTTTCCATTTTAGTTTTAACCTCACAGATGTATAATGTGTCCTCCCTCCTGTACGGTGAGTATGACGAGGCTGAGACGGTGATAACCATCATTTCAGACATCATTTTTTTGTTTGTACGAGATAAAGAAGCCCCCACAAGCTGTAATGCAATGCGATGTCACTTCAGAAGTAAAACCTGGTTTAGTTGTGCAGATAAAGTGTTGACTGGTCTCATGTTGGTGTGTTCAGGAGCCTCCGGAGCTCTTTCCGTCTGTGTCACCATGGGGATCAAAGCTGCACTTCCCAAATATGAGATCTACTTCTACAACACAGTGCTTTGTCTGGCCATGTTCTGGGCTTCCAGCTGGATCTTTGACCTGTCCAGTTGTGAGTATGAGATAGTACACACAAACGCATGCAGAAAGAGTAGTAGAATATCCTTCTTGTGAAGTACAGTTCATACTCTGCGAATGAATATGACCCTGACACGGTTTGACATGAACACTATCATCTGTTGTAATCTACTCGCATACATAAAAGTGCTAAATTAAATCTTTTGAAAAGTACTTAAACTAAAGGATAAGTCTGGTGATAGTCTAGATTTTCTTATTGTCTATCCAAGAAAAGTCACAAAACAATGACTCATTGTGAATATCCTTATACAACGGTTCATATACCGTACGAAAAAGTTACAAATTCTTCGTGCTTTTTCCTGTGAAAGTCCAGCATCATGTGTCAATTTTCCACACGCATACAGTCTTTTCAAAATTACTTAGTTAGGTTCAGGGAAAGATCGGCAAAAAAAACCTGACTTCATCAGGTTTATGAAAGATCATGTATTGGGTATAAATAACTACGGAAGTGATGTTCAGTACGGCAGTTAAGTGACAAATAAATCAACGCTGACTTCTTGTTTCACATAGGGCACAAAGCCTGATCTTGCTTATCCCTCTGTGCAGTAGAGCTCCAACACTTTTTTTCATCATAATGAACAGGTAGTTTATTTAGAAGTGATTCCCACGTACATGTTCTGTAAAATGTGTATCCATCCACAGCTTAAAATAGTCCCCAACAAATGCAGTATTTATTCCTGTTAGAGACATTTTCAGAAATGACTGGGCATTTTTTGAGAAAATCAAACCATGCATCTGTGAACCGTTTAAAAAACAATAACAATAGGAGCAAATGGACTTCAGGCCCGTGCCACACACTACAGAGCCCTGCACACTGACACAGGTGTTTAATGATTCTGGCTGATTAGACCTCTGCTCAAGTTGGGCAGGTCTATGCAGCCTACTAATAAACATGGAGTTTATTTACTAATGAAGATGATAAATCTGTAACCGGTGCAACAAAACTAGCATGTTTTACAATGCAATGAGTCACATTTTAAAGATGTGAAAATTAAAGATAATAACAGAAAAATAAACTTAAATGATTATGCTGACTAACTTTCCATTGGTAGAAAAGTGCAACAAATGTATATGAGTGCAAAGCAATGATATACAAAAGGCTGCTCAAATAAAATAACTTGTAATTAGTTACTTCCTGCATTCACACATACTCCCATGCAGATGTGCAAACAAAACAACATGTATGAACTTCTCAAATCTTATATTTTAAAGAAATTAGGGCTCTTGTTTGCCCAATAAATGAGTCTGGACTGTAGACCTGATGTTGAGGCATGAGTTTAGCTTTGTGTAGAGCGGTCCCACACAGACAACACAATGTGCAGTATACTTACAGTACACGGGCAGTGTCCCCGTGTGAGGGTGAAGAGTCGGTGCTATGCAGACCACGCAGAGGAGATCAGGTGTCGGTATTAATACCACAGAGCACAAGAGGAAAATAGGACTTCTGTTCACTTGGAACAAAAGTTTCACTTCTGCATTCAAGGACAACACAATTCTGATGAAAAAACAAAATGCATGATAGAAAATGTGTGTTGATGTGAGGTATACTCATATAAAGTCTCTTTAAATTTCTTAGTATTTTTTAAATTCACAATAGATTTTTTTCTATCCTATTTTCAGCCAGTGCAAACAGAAAAACATTCAAAACCGGCGTGAAGCCAGGATGGTACTACTTTGGGAGGAAAATGGTGAGACCACATTGATAGTTAACCTTACCATTGATGTGAAGATGTTTCTAACTTTTAATTCTTTCATTGATCTACAGGATACGGCTGATTTTGAGTGGATGATGTGGTTTTCCACCTTCAGAGCACACATCCTGTTTGCCCTCTCTGGCCATGTGCTGTTCGCCAAGATCTGCTCCATGTTGGCTCCACAGGTGCTTCTCCCGACTGACTGACTGATTGATTAACTGATTGAAGAAGAGTGTAGTAGAGGAAGTAAAGGACTCGGGTTTAATGATCCAAGCAAATGAGTCGCTTTGAAATGAGGTGAAAGAAACCCTCAGGTTCATCTCTCACTGTGTCGTGTTATTAAGAACGCTTTGTGACATTTGAAATCTTCTTTGTCACGATTTATTTTTACCACATTGCACAGTCGCTTTTTATTAGCTGAACAGCTGATGATGAATGGGACCAGGTGGAAAGAATAGAAATAGAAATGTAGCTCTATATTATGGCAGTTTTTTTGGTTAACAGCACTGCAGAGTCTCACGGTGAAAGTCTTTCCATAAGTGTAGATTTTATAATATTTATTGCTTTGTCTAAACTTTTTCTTGATGATCAGTGGACAGTTTCTTAGTTACCAACTGGCTGTAAAGAGACGTTATTATCTGGAGCTTGTAAATCTAAAGCCAGACGTGAGCTGCATCATTCGAGAAAATGCATTTAGAGGAAATATTAATACTTTTTATTTTCTAGCATTTAAAAGATGGCTTTACTGTGTCATTAATGCAACCAGTTGATGTAAGAAGTATTTAAATCCTCTACTTAAGTAAAAGTATACTGCAGTATGAAAAAACAATCAGTAAATCTTACTTAAAGTATCAAAAGTAAAAGTACTTCGGCAGTGAAATGTTCCCGGTCAGTGTTTTACTATTATGTATATGAGGTTTTTGGATTAATATTGCGGCTACATTAATGTATATCTCTGAAAAGGTTGTTTGTTTTGTAGAGTTTATTTAGCTTATGAAGTACGAGGATTTTCTTTACCCATAAAGGAACCCTTAATCTTTCAGTTTATCAGAAAAGTCTAAATCCCCAAATTCTTTTATTGGACATGCAACGTATAAGAAATTATAATTTTAACAGTAACTACAGCTGTCAGTTAAATGTAGACAATATTTGCCTCAGAGCAGCACAAGTCTAGATTAGCATAACGTGGAAATACTCAATTAAAGTACAATTACATTGAATTTGTCATAGTTGCATTCCATCACTGGTGGTGACACTACATTTCTGTCCCACAGTACAGGTCCCTGGTCTACATGGTGTATGGGTTGCTGGCCGTGTGGACCAGTATGGGCTGGACCTACGTCACCCTCATCCTGTCCCACTGCATTCTGCTCTACAGCATCTCCTTGGTGAAAGTCCGCTGGCTCTGCTTCGTCACCGGTCTTTGCACCCTCGCTACGTTCAAGTGTGAACCCTTCGTGTCCTGGCAGGTAAACTGCTGGCACTTAACAGAAGTTACATTACAAACTCAATTAATATTAATGGTTTCCCGCTTTATTTCTCCGGTTTCTCCTCCATGTAGACGGGCTTTGTGGAGGGTGACTTTGAGCTGCGTCATGTTCTCTTCTATGGAGGTTGTGGGTTTACTATCATGCGCTGTATGAGCTTTGCTCTGGAGAACTGCGAGAGGAAAGATGGAAACTACAACATCCTGGAGCTGCTCAAGTACAACTTCTACCTCCCCTTCTTCTATTTCGGGCCCATCATGACCTTTGATAAGTTTCATATTCAGGTAAGTTAAGTAAAACCTTCCAATAACTCACAGGAAGTGATCAAAATCAGAGAAACATCTAAAAACATGAATATCATTTTGTGAGGGGGGGCTTACTGAGGGCCACAGTCACAGAGGATGCCTTTACTGTAGCAAAGCAGCGTGGAGGTCTCTGGCTTTGTGACATGCGTCTGCTGCCCCCTGCAGGCCAACAAGTCCGACCTGACCAGGAAAGAGCGGGAGATGTGGAACATCAGTCTGCAGGGCCTGATTCACCTGGGAGCCATCATTGTAGTGGACGTCCTCTTCCATTTCCTGTACATCCTCACCATCCCCACCGACCTGAGGCTGCTGAAGCATGCCTCTGACTGGGCTCTAGGTCTGTGCCACCTCCCCGAAATGTAACGATCTGACTTAATGCTGTGGCATGTTAATGTGTGACAATACATTGACTGCATAGATAATAATTGCATTGTTTCCAGTGGGCCTAGCTTACTTTAACCTGGTGTACGACTGGGTAAAAGCCGCCGTCATGTTTGGAGTCATCAACACAGTGTCCAGACTGGATCATCTGGACCCTCCCAAGCCACCAAAATGCATCACTATGCTCTACGTGTTTGCTGAAACGTGCGTTGAGTTCACACAGATCACATCTGGCTCATTACAAAGTACAAATCTGTAAATCTAATCCTGTTTTTTTTTTTTTTGTCTTTCAGTCATTTTGACAGAGGGATCAATGAGTGGCTGTGCAAGTGAGATCAATAAATTGAATTAAAATCGTATTGATATTGACACATTTAGAGGTCCTGATGCTGACTCATTATCCACAGGTACGTGTACGATTACCTGGGTGGAAAACATGAGAATGTGGTGCAGGAGCTGGTGGCTACACTGTGCACCTTCGGCGTCACCATCCTGTGGCTGGGACCCTGCGAGGCGGTGCTTGTCTGGGCTTTCTTTAACTGTTTCGGCCTCAACTTTGAGCTGTGGACCGCCAAGTTCTTCTCCATGGAGCCTTTTGCTTCGTTTGAGGTTAGTAAGCTGAGGTTGGCTTTAACATTTCAGTTCGGCTGCTGACACAAAATGCTTTTCTGTTTATAAATAATGTTTAATTTACAGATGGCCATGCCAGAAGCAACATCCCGCCGGATCAGAGCCATCTTCAATACTTTGAACTTCTGGACCATTGTGTTATACAACATCCTGGCCTTGAACAGTTTGGACTTTGCCAAGTTGGTCGCAAAGCGGCTGCTTCTTAAAGGTGACTTAGGTTTTTTTTTTCATTTTGAAAAGAGGGTATGAAATGTGGTTCAACCCTATTGACAGGTTGTTTTTTTTAACTTTCCCAGGCTTCCCTATAACCACCATCATCGTCATGTTTGTGACCTACTGCCTGATTCAAGTGATTAAGGAGAGAGAGAGGAAGCAGGCCCTTATCGATGATCCCGATCCTCTTCCTCCTGCTCCCCCTCAGAGCGCCGCCACTGCTGCAGCTGCACCCACTGCTGCTCAACCAGTCGCAGATCCCAACAAGGAAAAAGCAGAGTAGATGTTTGATGTTGGCTTCACTAAAAGCGAAGGATGTAAACAGTCAAGAGTATGATTGGTTGTCAACATTTTTAAACCATGAATTGTGAATTGATGCTCAGTATTAACTGTAAATACGTTTACCACCATTTAACTGTTTAAGACACTTACTTAAATATGATATAATAGTATAATCTCAAGTAGCCACTGAAAATGAACAAGAATAAGTGTAACAACACTGTAGGAGTGTCAAAACTGAAACCTTTATCATCAATGCAAGAAATAAACTGAAAAGATTCGTTCAAATATGTTGTGTCTGCATGGAGAGTTTCCCTTCTGATGGAGCTGTTTAAATATGAATGAGAGAAGGGTGCTTTTTTCCAGTACGCGAGTCAGTGTTGAGTCTTGTCATTAGGCTTGGAAATGTATTTCTGTAGCGTTACATCAGCAGTTGGCAGTTTTATTTCTGTTTGATGCCTCCACACTGGAAACACTTTAAACTCTGGTCACACCTGTAGTGAATCACTGGACCTGAACAAGTGATAAAAGATATTTACTGACGCTTAAACAAGGGTTAACTTTTGATTTTTGCAACAGCTAATGTATGTCTAAAACGCCTTGTATATAAACATGTATTGTAAAAACATATCTACATTGAATATATATTGTCATTTGAAAGGCTAAATAATTCCCTTCAACAGTCTGTAAATAGTCTTTGTTGGAGACTATTTTAAGCTGCGGATGAATACACATTTGGTGAGCTGGTGAGTATTTCCGGCCGCAGAGCGCTATATGTGGCATTTATGAAAATAAACAAAATAAACTGGGCACAAAGGAGAAAGATATATCAGGCTTTGGCAACCTAGAAAATAATGTTGGTAGTATTGCAATAATGACTCAGTCACAGAGTCCACAGGGGGCAGCCTCTTAACACATCTACTCCAGATCCACCCGTGACTCAGGATGGACATATTTCCCATGAAGCAATGCTGTCAGCTGTCTTGAGAGTGGGTGGATGTTCCTGGGGAGCGGGTAGGGGTGGGGTTGGAGGTGGGACAGGGGATTGAAGCGTGGATATTGCATTTCATGTTCCAGAACGAATCCCATAGCTCCACACCGAGCACCCGGACTATAAATAACCTACCAGTTGGAGCTCGGTTGAAGGGTCAGAACAGCTGAAGGAGTGGGCCGTCCCTGGGTTCAGCTGCTAATAGCAGACTGACTGTGCCTCTGAATCCTCTTTCAAGGCTAGAAACTAAAATTCTGCTGTAAAGAAGATCCATTTTGTTTGATTTTAAGCCCCTAAAAGGCTCCTCAAACTCTCCCTGCCAGGAACGATGGCTCTGCCGATAGACCCCATGGACGAACCCAGGATGTACCAGCAGACGTTGCTCCAGGACGGCCTGTTCGAGCTGCTGGAGAACGACAAGCTGGTTGACTGTGTGCTGAAGATCAAAGACAAGGAGTTCCCCTGCCACCGGCTGGTCCTGTGCGCCTGCAGCTCTTACTTCCGCACCATCTTTCTATCCGACCTGGAGGAGAGCAAGAAGAAAGAGATTGTCTTGGAGGATGTAGAGCCTGGCGTCATGGGGCTGATCCTCAAGTACCTGTACACCTCCAAAATCAACGTGACGGAGCAGAACGTCCAAGACATCTTCGCCGTGGCTAATGTGTACCAGATCCCTTCAATTTTTACTGTTTGTGTGTCTTTCCTACAGAAGCGCCTGAGCCTCAGCAACTGTCTGGCTATCTTCAGGCTCGGCCTGATGCTGGACTGTCCAAGGTTGGCCGTCTCTGCCCGAAACTACGCCTGCGAGCGCTTTCAGCTCATCTCCAGAGATGAGGAGTTCTTCCAGCTGCTCCCCAGCGAGTTGGCAGCCATTTTAGCAAACGACAATCTGAACGTAGAGACAGAGGAGGCCGTGTTCGAGGCTTTGATGAACTGGATGTCCCGGGACACTGAGGGCAGAGAGAAAGATCTGCCAGGTTTGCTGGATTGCGTTCGTTTGCGTCTGGTAAAGGAGGATTACCTGAAAGAAAAGGTGGAGAAACACAAACTGATCTCCTTTAATCCTGAGCTGCAGCAGAAACTCCAGCTGATCAGGGACGCTCATGCCGGGAAAATGCCGGAGGTTAAAAAAAGCAAAAAGGAGGACGGAGGAGCAGAGGGAGATGGGGATAATGAGGATAAAGAGGAAGAGGAAGGTCTTCTACCAGGCATCCTGAATGATAACCTGCGATTTGGCATGTTTGTCAGGAACCTGATACTGATGGTGAATGAGGCAGGTGCTGTGGCCTACGATCCGACTGGGAACGAATGCTTCTTAGCATCACTTTCCACACAGATTCCCAAGAACCACACCAGCCTGGTCACCAAGGAGAACCAGATCTTTGCTGCAGGAGGATTATTCTTTGACGAACAGAACAAAGAAGATCCACTGTGCGCTTATTTCCTACAGGTAGGAAAGGAGTAATACATATTTTACCTCTGTTGCTACCTGCTGATGATGCGCCATATTTGTATTAAACCTTTTTAAAACCACTTCTCCACTGGTGGTTGTGTTTAAACCCACAAAACTGTGTTTTACCTTCTAATAGTGATCAAGTTTCCAAAGATAGTAAATATGTCATGGTGAATTCTGGGAAAATGTGGATAAAATGATGCACAAAGACATCTAGAATTTATCTGTTTTGATGAAATAGTGCTATATAGCTTCAATAAAGGTGGAAAAAGATGATTTTTCCAGCCTTATTCATGCATCTACATAAAGGGGAAATAAACAAGTTATGTTAAGAGTACATCTACCTGCAGTGTTGCATGTGCTACAGCATGTCTACTTCAGGTGGTGTAAACGTAACCCCATTCGCAAATGTTTGACCTCAGTATGACCCGGCCACTGCTGATTGGCTGGGGATGCCTCCCCTCCCGTCTCCCCGCTTCCTGTTTGGGCTGGGTGAGGCCGAGAACTCCATCTTTGTATTGGGAGGGAGGGAACTGAAGGAGCAGGAGCAGACGCTGGACTCAGTTTTGGTCTACGACAGACAGTGAGTACAAGTCAAAGTTAATGTAAATCATTGAACGGATTGCTGTTCTCCGGACTGAATCCTAATAAATTTACACCTTTACAGATCTTTTAAATGGGGTGAATCAGAGCAACTTCCTTACCCGGTCTACGGACATGCAACCATATCCCACAATGATGTTGTTTATGTGATTGGGGGAAAGGGAGACAACAAGTGAGTATTAAGTGGGATCAAAATATTAATATTCATCGGCGAGTGCGAAGGCTTTATTCATTAATCCTGCAACACATGGAGTAGGAATATCTTTCTTAATAGAAATCATATAAAGAGACATGCACTATGTTCTTTGTCTCTCTTGTGAAAAGGAGCTGCCTGAAGAAGATGTGCGCATATGACGCAAGGAGATTTGAGTGGAAGGAGCTCGCTCCCATGAAGGTTGCACGTTCTTTATTTGGAGCCACTGTTCATAAAGACAAAATATATGTGGCAGCAGGAGTCACCGACACCGGGCTGACAAACACTGTGGAGGTGTACGACATCGCTACGAACAAGTGAGTTCCTCGAAATCAGTGAGTCAGGCTGGCAAAAGTCGATGTGGGTGCCACACACAGTTGCTGGCCCCACAGCAAACTGCCTACGGCATTAAGTTACCAGGGGGACCCTCAAATTACAAATGTGATGTACTGTGCTGTTTGTGCACTTTGCAGAAAGAGAAAATCACACTGAAGAGATAATGTTTGGTTCACTGGGTTAATGCATTTTCAAATTGCTTTTACTGAATAAAACTGCCGTTCACTTGTTGCTTTTCTCTGCAACAACAACACTTAAAAAGGTTAAATTCTGCTTAAAAATATCAATTTCCCAGTTTAGCTTCTTGAGCCCTCTAGAGGTGTACCGTTACTGAACTGTGCCTCTATTTGTGTGCTTTTACATTTTTCAGGTGGTCAGACTTTGAAGTGTTTCCCCAGGAGCGTAGCTCTCTAAACCTGGTGTCTTTGGCTGGCTTGCTGTATGCTGTAGCAGGTTTTGCCATGATGCCTTTGGAGGACAGCGAAGAGATTGTTCCCAAAGAGATGAATGACATCTGGAGGTGGGTCATAACAGATTCATTAATTCATCAAGCGCTTGGTAGTTTTCTTTTTAGATGTGATTCGATGAAATTGCACTGTCACATTGGACCACCTTTTTAAGAGAAAGTAAAACAGGAAGTCTCACCAATCATCTCAATGATTCATTTTAACCATTTCGCTGTGCTGTTAATTTAGCCAAAATGTGTGTGTTGTGATTCATGATGTATAAAAACATTACCAGCACTGTTGAGTGCTAGTTTTTCAGTGTGTGTCTAAGATTTACCTTAGAGTCCGTTAACCTCCTCAGGTTTGATGAGACGGACAGGACGTGGAAGGGGATCCTCAAAGAGATCCAGTACGCTTCAGGGGCCACTATTCTGGCGGTCCGCCTCAACACCCTGCATCTCACCAAGATGTAAACCCCCTCTGGTCTCTGCTTGTTAACAGAGATCTGTACACAGTGACATCTTGCATTTGTAGAGCTCACTGTGGTGTTCAGTTTGTTTAATTATACCCTCTGCTACAGTATAGCAGTTCTGATGATGTAGCCGATTGTACTTCTAGCTCATGCACAATTTTGTTTTTGGATTGAAGCCATTTTCACATGTGTTTAAGTGATTTTAATCTGATTGAGATTGTAAAACCGTAAACAATCTGTAAACTGTTGACATGTTTTGCACTGTAATGGAATAAACTGCAAGTATCCAACACCAAAAACATACGTGACAAGCATGGAAAATGTGTTGGCAAGACGTTGTGCATTTCTCAACAGATGGTAGCAAAGTCAGAATGTAAGAGCCTTTAGAGAGTTGACTGGAACGTGATAGTTATAAAAAACAATTTCAGTAATGTGCAAAAACAAAAAACACAGCACCCATCTCCATTTGCAATAATATATCTATACTGTTTAATATTGAAATGATTTCATTACGTTCTGCTGTGTTACAGACAGTAAACACTAGTCAATAATACAATAAAAGACAGAAAATACAGTCTAATGTTATTAGCACCTCTAGACACTATTGTCCTTGTACGGTTTTTAGTATTTTAATATAGCTGAACTTGACATCTACTGCCTACACATGGTCTTTGTACACCAGAGTTAACTAAGACATAGTGTTTACATTATGAAGAAGAGAATCAGTAAATAACAGTACACATGAATTAACACAGCGGCAGTATGATTAG